AAGCTGTCTGTCTTTGAGCCAGCAACCTTGCTGTGTTACAATTCTTTATCTTACAACAGAGGAAAATTTCCTGTCCTTTGCAAGGTCAATATTTGAAACAACAAGGCTTTGGAAAACCAGGCCCTGTGAAGTACATTTGCTTTATGCATACTCCACATGCCCAGACTCACAAACAGTCCTCAGGAGAGACACCTAAAGCAGAGGCAAATCTTGGAGAAAGACACATCTGAACGGAGTTATCAAAGACAAATGGTGGTCACCCAGGTAAACGGTATTTCAGAAAGACACCAAGTGGATTTCTGAAACTCTAAAACCTGTGTGTATTGTGTCTACATGTCTATAATTCAGAAAGGCCTTTGTCTGTCTGTGGGTAAAAGATAATGTTTTTAATCTGAGTCTGAAAAGGAGCTGGGAAATGTATTAAAAGTATAGAACCCACTCAGTTGTGATGGACTTCCTTTGGTTTACTCAGTAGTGTCTACAACATGAAATTACCTTCTAGGTAATCTATCTAGAGATTCTGAGTTTTATAAGAATAACTCTCTGAGCTTTACATTGACTTTATGTTCTTAATTATCTAAGGAAAAAATACAAAAGTTTCTAAAATTTTTTTCAATCATGTTATACTCTTACATAATCATGTTACCTATGTTTTACTGTCACTTGGGTTAAGTAGATGGCCAGGTATTGTTCTCGTCATGTGGTCTTATTTATTCATGTCCCCAGATATCCTGACATTATTTTGATTTTTACCATACCATAATCAGATTCTAAGAAATAAAAATTAAATTAAGTTAAATCTTTATAATATCTCTTACACATAAAATTATCTTTAAGTTTTACCAGAGGGTTTATAGAAAATCACAAAATTATTGTTGTTTCCCTTTAAATATACTAAACATAATTAGATCTATTTGATATGTACATGTACCTATTGTCAGAGTTGGATGGGAAGAGTTGTCAAAAGAGAAAAAAAGCTCTTAGTTAAATTTATATTGGTGAAATGTTATTGGTTTAAATATTTAAGAAATTGTATGCTTTGTGGGAAGTCTCTGGGGATTTTTCAGTACCCTGTCTTTCTATAATATGTTTTTATTACTAGGGAAAATATTGATTAAAAAGGTATTTTTTTTTAGAAGACTGACAGCTAGTAAATATAAAAGGGTTGATAGAATTAGAAAAGTCATAATTTTTAATTATCTATATTGTAATTGATTCAAGCAAGAATCAGCCATCAATGGTAAAACCCTTAGCAGACAGTTATAAGAAAATGAGATAGTCTCATAACACCAAGATTTATACCCTGAATTAACTACTTTGTATTCACAATGGGAAAAACTGATAGTGATCAAAATTGTTTTCAATAATAGTAAAAGCATCTGCCATCATGTGTCTCCTGATGTGTTGCAATATGTAGAACACATCATCTTTGAAGTATTATTTATAAAAAATGTTTAAATTAATACTAAATCAAGCCTCAGACCTAAATTCCAGCTTTTTAAGAAAACAGAAGATAGAACAAATTTAACAATGCCACATGAAAACCCAAGGACAAACACGGAATGTGGGACCTTCTGAAAGTTACTAACTTGGACCATTCAAAAGTTAAAGTTTTTTCGGGAAAATACCAAGCAAGAATCCTAGATTTAAAGAGACTAAAGATGTATTACATATTAACAAGAACATTGCAAATTATAAAGTATCTCAGAATAACTCTCATCAAAGAGGAACAAAAGCTTTTTCAGAGAAAATAATTTTAAAAGTAATTTAAGGACATAAAAAATGAGAATAGTTGGTGTGAATAACATGTACAGGGATGAGAAGACTCAATAAAGTGTCAGTTCTCCCTAATTAATCATTCAACTTTCATCTGAAATATTAAAATAGCTCAATATAGAATTTAAATTTTTTGTTTTAAGTTTATATGTATAACTGAACAGCCATGAAAATTAAAGTAGCTTTTTTAAAAGAGCAAAACGTGACGTGAAGGCTTTACAGATATTAAGATTTCTATGACATTACAGCCATTAAAAGAGTATAGTTGTTCAGGGATAGCAAATGGACTTGAGGAATAAAACTCAACTAATTCATAAATGATGACCAGAATATATTAGAGGAGAAATTACACACGAGTGGAAAATAAAGAACTAGAGAAGAAAGTAATGTTCAGAGAATTAGAATCAAATATTTCTTACTCTACGTACAAAGAAAATTCAGATGAATTAAAAACCTAAATGTACCAGGGTTCTCTTTTCTCCACATCCTTGCCTACACTTGTTATCTTTTATATTTTTCATAATAGCTTTTCTAACAGGTGTGAGATGATATCTCATTGTGCCTTTAATTTGCATTTCCTTGATGTTTAGAGATGTTGAGCATTTTTTTTTTCTTATGTCTATTGGCTGTTTGTATGTCTTCTTTTGAAAAATGTCTGTTCAGGTTTTTTGCCCATTTTTTAATTGGGTTATTTGTTTCTTTGTTATTGAGTGGCTTTAATTATTTATATATTTTTGCCATTAACCTCTTATCATATATAAAATTTGCAAAAATTTTCTCCCAAACAATAGGTTGTCTCTTCACTCTACATATTATTCCCTTTGATGTTTGGGAGCTTTTTAGTTTGATACAATCCCATTTATTTTTGCTTTCATTGCCTGTGCTTTGGGGGTCTTACTCAAAAAACAATTGCCTAAATCAACATCATGGAGCTTTTCCTCTATGTTTTCTTTTAGTAGTCTTATAGGTTCAGGTCTTCTATTTAAGTCTTTAATCCACTTTGATTTGACTTCTGAATGGCATAAGAAAGAGCCCAATTTTGTTTTTCTGCATGTGAATATCCAGTTTTCCCAACACTGTTTATTAAAGAAACTCTCTTTTCATCACTGTGGTGAGAGGGTAAATTAGTGCAGCCATTTTAAAAAATAAAATGAAGGTTTTTCAAAAATCTAAAAGTGCAATTACCATATGATCCAGCAATCCCACTCCTAGGTATATATCCAAAAGAACTGAGATCGGAATGTAAGAGAAATATCTGCACTCACATGTTCATTTAAGTGTTATTCACAATAGCAAAAATATGGGATCAACCTAAGTACCCATCAATGGATGAATGGATAAAGAAAATGTGGTGTACATACATAATGGAATACTATGTAGCCTTCAAAAAAGAAATTTTGTCATTTGTGACAACATTGATTAACCTGGAGGACATTATGCTAAGTGAAATAAGTCAGGCAAAGAAAAACACATACTGTAAAGTTTCCTGATGGGTTGAATCCAAAAAAGTCAG